AAAGGGAGGGGTGGAATCTTAAATCAAAGCTTTAGAATAGGGAGGGAAAAAAGGCCTCCAAGATTTTTCTGTTCTTCTGTTTTCTCTGTCCATGCAAGACAGACACACAGAAGGTATTATCTGGAACTTTGGGTACAGTGAATGATCCAAATAGGAGACAATTCAAGGTTGATCTTCCACCTTCTATTTTGAAATATAATCCAAAAGCATAAGAGAGCTGCTGTAAAATGTGGTTATTTTTCAGGCAGCAATGATGGCTGAGGAGCTTAAAAAGGAGCAGGATACTAGTGCTCACTTAGAGAGAATGAAGAAGAACATGGAGCAAACCATTAAAGACCTCCAGAAGAGACTGGATGAAGCAGAACAAATAGCTCTGAAAGGTGGCAAGAAGCAGATCCAGAAACTGGAATCCAGGGTAAGTTTGGGATGCAAGTTCAGACCACTGTTGCCTTCTTACAGAATTGGCACTAGGTAGGTAGCCTAGGGCTAGCCTGCTAAGTTTATAGAGGCCAAGAAGGGATAGTATGAATGCTTTCCTCTGTTTCACAAAATGCAGGTGAGCAGTGCTTCCCCTTCATCATCCAGCTATGAGCTGTTGACCAGCAGATGACCAAAGCCCTTGATTAAAAAAAAAAAAAAAATTAAAAGCCCGAGCATCTAAAATCAGCAAAAGCCTCTCCAATGCTTGCTTTGTTAAATTTTTCTGGCCTTCGCATATGTCTGTACCTCTGACTGCTGGTGCAGCTTAAATACATTTAAGAAAAAGCAAAATGGAAAGGTGACATTTTGATCTCTTCTTGAAATTTGACTCTGTTGGGATGCCTAGAAAATAAGCATTTCTTGAACTGTGAGCCAAATTATCTGCTGCTTTAAATATATGTAGCATAATGGCAAGGGTTCTTCCTGTTTTGCAGGTTCGTGAGCTGGAGAATGAACTTGAGACTGAACTGCGTCGCAATTCAGATGCCCAAAAAGGAGCCCGCAAGTTTGAGAGACGCATAAAAGAGCTGACTTACCAGGTATGTTGGGGACTGTGGTAACCACTAGGTCCCTGGAAAGAAACATGTCTTAAATTGCCTCAGTGTTCCAGTGAAGGATGGCATTACCCAGATTACAACCAAAGCTTTAGGCATAGGAGAAATATCTCCCTAGGGCTACAGTCAGAGAAGCATAGAATGGTTGGGGCTTGGAAGGGGCCTTAAAGATCATCTCATTCCAACCTCCCCATCACGGGCAGGGACACTTTCCACTACACCAGGCTGCTCAGGCTCCATCCAGCCTGGCCTTAAACACTACTTCCAGGGATGGGGCATCCACAGCTTCTCTGGGCATCCTGTTCCAGTAATCATCATCCTCTTGCCTGATTTGTTGTAACTAGCGTTAGAAAGCCGGGAATTTGTCGCTGGGAATTTGGAGAGTTTTAGTACAGCATTAATATGGAGCAGCTTCCATGGCTATTCACAATGTAAGGGAAGAAAGAGCCCAGCTGTCTCTCAGCTGTGCCACTGCTGCCAAAGGGAGCCAGAAGGACTCTGCTGACTAATGCACCACTCAGTGTAGGGTTGCTCAGTCCCAGAACCTCGTCACCTATTGCTGAGCAGCAAGGCCTAGTCTTGAGCCTCCTGCAGGTTTGCTAACAGCTGCTGTTTCGAAAAAGGCCTGCAGCACAGAGCACTGATCCTTTTGTTTCCAAAAGCATTCTTAAGAAGATAAACCCATCCATCTGCTTTAGATTATTTAGACTCCTACTTGTTTTATTTTGACTTTTGTACGCAGAAGCTGAAGGTTGTTTTCTTAGAATACAGTGAGCCAGCAGAATTAGCTGGTCCTTCTGCTTATCGAGTGTGACAGCTGAAACCTGGCTCCTTTTGCCAGAAATGCCTCCAAACCAGACTTCAAATTATGCAAATTACAGTTTTAGACTATTCCATAAATCTGTTTCACTATATCACAGCACACTTTATAATGACCAGAGTGTTCCTCATCCCTGAGCGAGGAACTCTGGGTGTGTGTATGTGTACACCTCTGAAAGTGTGTGCACATATATATCTGTGTTTATATGTATCTATATTTACATGTATATAAATGTAGAGGGTACTCTCTTCAGTCCTCCACGCTTACACACATCTTCAATGAACCTACAGAATATTTTCTCATCTGTGTACAGAAGGATCACAACATGGCTAGTTTGTGTTTTGAGTTATAAGTTTCTAAAATATGCATGGCATCTATACTTCATGCATTGTGAGAGATGCTCTAGGCCTTTTTACTCCAGAGCCCAACTAATAGTGTTTTGATACAGTCAGAAGAAGATAAGAAGAATCTTGCCAGGATGCAGGACCTGATTGACAAGCTACAATTAAAAGTGAAGAGTTACAAGCACCAAGCAGAGGAAGCTGTAAGTAACTATTTGGGCCTTTTTACCTTTGAGAGATTTATTGTTCTAAACCCACAGTCTTTTATCCATAGAAGCTTCTAGTACAAATACGTGCTTTTTGTGCATTAATATTTTTAGTTCATATAAACCCAAATATATAAAACTGTATTTATATTTCATATAAAATAAAACATTTGGCATATTTGTTGATTATAGTTAAGATATTCAATTTTATCTTATGATTGCAGTATAATTTGCAAGGGAAGGGGGAAAGGGAAAGAACAGGAAAGACTTTTTTCCTCCTAGCCCCTCAGAAAGCACATTGAGAGCGTCACAGTTCAGCTAAAATGGAGAATGCCACTGGAAACATTAGCTCTGTAAAACAACAATCTCAGTTCTCCAGGAGGCAAATGGTCCCCATACGGCTGTTAGCTCATCACACTGAGCACTTTCCACCCCACTTCAAATGAAAAGCTTTGTTTCATGTGGACAGGAGGAAATCAGCTGCACTGTTTTTTCTCACCAGGAAGCTCAAGCCAATCTGTACCTCTCGAAGTACAGAAAACAGCAACATGATTTGGATGATGCTGAAGAAAGGGCTGAAATAGCTGAATCTCAGGTTAATAAGCTGAGGAGCAAGTCAAGGGATATTGGCATGAAAAAGGTACAGTAATACTGTGTGGGGTAACTGAGACTATTTAATACACAGTAGTGGATGCTATGTATCTGTTACATCCCTAAAAATAGCACAGACTGGAATAAATTCTTGTTTACCACATTTGTTTAGTTTCAGTCTACCCTTTAACATTAAGATAACCCTTCAGGACAGCAATCTGACACTTCGACAAAATATATGCTCTGTCCTTTTGATGGTGTCATTTAACCTCTGTGCTCAGCAGCAGAATGTGGGTTTATTATGGTTGGTTTATTTTTTTCTTTTTCAAGGAATATTAAAAGATTTCACCTTTTCCTCCCTCTGTTGATGCAGCTTTCTGTGTATGTAATACAGCCTGGGGGTTACTGCATTAGCAGATTGCCAGATATTTTAACATTGCTCTTTTAATGAACTTGTATTGATTTGAAGAGCTGGATGTTACTGATTAGTCACCTACATGCTGGGAAGTCATTAGTTACTAGAAATATATTTGTGGTGTTTTGCAGTTGATATGAATGGTAGCAGAATAAGGTTGATGAACCTAAAAGGTACCTAAGCTCTTGGTCTGGAACTGAAAGCAAACCTTTGCTTATCTATGCTTGCCTTGTGGCAAAAAAGAGTAGGGTTCTTACTTCTAGGAATGACAGAAAGAGGAGCTGGCTCATTGCTTTATCTATTTCATTTGCAAGTGAAACATAAACTTTCATGCTTAACATCATTTAAGTTTTATGGGGATAACTCCTGAGTTAAGAAAGAGGTGGAAAAAACCCTTTCTCTATAATTTTGGTATTTTTATCACATGTGATTCCAACACTCTCCTCTTCTCTTCTGTAGCCACCATTCTATGGCAGGGAACACTCTAACTTCTGATTTCATATTGGACTAATAGAGTCACCTTTGACTGATATAAATGACTGTTGCTCCACCATCTAGAGCACAGCTACATTAAAACTACATGAATATCTGGTCTCACACATTTACATATGGTGGAAGCAGTACTGTAACTGAAGCTCAGAAGAAGATTTGCAGCTTTTAAGAGTAAAAAATTTCCATAGATTTTTCTTTAAATCGTTCCAGCCCTACAAAAAAATGAAAACTCACAGATTCACATATGACGCCATGGCATCATACCAACACTGTACCTATTTAGGTAAACCATGAGAGTAAATTATTTTTGTAAATACTGTTAAGATTGCTGTTTATTCCCTGTATCTTAGTAGTACCCTCTTTCTGCCCCAAATATGCAGAAGTCATAGAACAATGGATGTCTGGTATATATTAGTCAGATGCTATTTGCCAACACCAAATCCAGCTCTGGTTTATAGCAGTGTTGCACTGCCAAAAGATGAGCTCAACAGCGCACACAGAGGTGTCAGCTCCACAAAAAGTTTCATGGCAGTAACAGCAATAGCTGCCAGGAAACATGTTCAGGCAGTGAGTGTTGTCCCAAAAGTCATGACACATCTTTGGGGAGAGAAAGGCACTGCAGAGATTACTCTAATCATGTAGCATTAGAAATACCTTGTCTAGTGCTACTAGTACCCACTATCCTGGAAACACCATCTATTGAAACAGGGTTGTATAGAAGTCCTCTGCTCTCAAAGAGAAATATATAATCCAGAATCAGGACAAGACAGCTGTATTGTTAGCAAAGTTTGGCTAGATTGCTGCTACTCTATTTCAGATACAAACTGAAAATACCAGGAAGTAGAAGCATTAGTAAATAGAAGCTTTTGTCATTTACTTGTGAATTTACCCTAAAACCCCTCAACACTTCCATTTTCTTTTTAACAGTCATATACTATCTCAATTGCATTTCAGGTTCATGAAGAGGAGTAAGTTCACTCCAAGCTGACAGATATGAGAAGATACTTGACATAATCAGGCACAACTGAAAGCAGATGTAGAAAAAAAATAAGCACTTACAGAAATAAACATCAAGTGAAAATCCAAACAGACTTTATAGCGTATTTCATTCATTTATTTGTGTTTCTATTTTGCCAAGCCTCAGGGATCAATAAAAGATTACATCTTGCCAGCAGCCCACTTCATTATGCTGGAACAAATCCTAATTGGCAAAAAATCAAAATCAAAATCAAAATCTGACAAAATCAAAACCAAGGGCAAATCCAGTAATGCTTCACAGCCTCACGTATGTCATATGCAGATTGCTAAAGTAGCTGTTGTTTCTGGGGTGCCATGTCCCCACACAACTTGACTTTCAAGGCCCAAGAAAGTGTTCTGGGCAGCGGAGTGAGGCGCAGATGCATCTCCAGCCATCCAGTGGTTCTCTCCACCACTGTCAGCACACAGCACTTGCCTTGGTGGGTTTGCAGGAGAACCTTTGACATCTTTTAAGATGTTAAGGTTGCCTGTTATGTCAGCACAGGTGGATCCATTATGGCCATCAGCAGAGATGAATATCTTCAGGCCATGTTCGTGATTTGTCCTGATGCTTTTATCACAGATGAGTCCTTTGTGTGAGGACAAAGAAACATCCAGCCCTGTAGCCTGAGGTGGCAGGTGTGCACACCTGGATTGTCTGAGTCATCAGCATTCCAGTCTTTTCACAATTGTGGATACATTCTTCTCCTAGGATAATAGAGTACCCCCTTATCTTAAGTCCCTCCCCATAGTCTAAATTAGTAGGCATATTTGGGGAAAAGAGAGAAGGTGGATACCAGAGTCCTTGTGTAAGCCAGGACAAATACTAAATGAAATGAAAAACAGTAAGCCTTCTCTTTCCCTAACACTGAAAAAAAAATCCCTCAAAACTTAGAGATTTCTTCTTCTGTGGAAAATTCTTTGTTCCTTTGGGAAATCCAAGTTCCAACCTTTCATGCCAGCTTCTCTAATACAAGTGTCAATTGACTTTCTTTTCCTTCCTATCACTTCCTTTGTTTGCTACTGTTGCTCAGAGAATCACATTTCCATGTGGCTCTCTTGCTGTAACTGAAAGGGGAAGGTGAAGGAACTCCGTTAACCAACCATTTCAATTGCACCTGTGCGCAGAGAAGCATTTTCTTCTGGTACATTATGGTGCTCACAGGATACCCGTCCTTCTGTTTTGCATTTCTAGGCAAAACAAAAATGCTTGTAAGAACTACTGAAGTGTAAAATTAATCCCCTAGTGGGAACAGAACTAGACACACTCACTGTAAAGGTAAGTCAGCATTTTCCATTTTAACATTATCTGAATAAAATAAGCATCCACATAACAGTGCAGAAACATTCCTGTTTCTTCCATCTAGTCCTTCAACCATGGAACCAGAGCTGAGTTACCCTGTAAACTGTTCCACTTCCTCTGATTATGATATGTTCAAGGTCTCAATAGGTCCCAAGATAAATTAATCTTGCTTAAATTCTTTAGAGAGATGCATCGCAAGAGTATATTATCATCTCTAAAGCACGTTAGCATTAAAATTGACTAAAAAGCATGTAAGTGAATCTGTAAGTGAGAGAAACATGAAAAAAGACTAAGGCGTAATCATGTGTTCTTGCTGAACCTCATGGTAACCATCATCAAATGCCCCCTGAATCTTACCAAATTCAGACTGTGACAAAAACCCGGGGAGTTTGGAGGTATATCTCTCCATGGATAGGGCTGTACTGTCAGGTACAGAAAGGTGGGCTAATAATGAAAGTTTGGTTTTTTTAAGGGTACTCACAACAAATGCAGAGGAAAAAGACAGAATATTTTAAGACAGAGCCAACCTATAACAAATGCATGAGAATAAAATGCATCCACTTGAAGATGCTGTACTCCAGTAAATAGGAGAGATGTGCAAAGATATGAGATTAGGGACCATATGGTTATAACAGTCTCCTAAACAAAGCAATGCAGTATAACTTTTCAAACTGAGGTTTTTATGAGCTTTGACATTGGATACAATTGAAATAGTAATCTGGGCCCTAATAAAGACTCGGTATGTGAATTGTTTGAGGGACTTTGTGCTTTGGTTTGGGTTTTCTTTGGTTTTAAACACAAGTGAGAAAATTCACCAGTTTGAATGTTCTTAAAGCAAGTTACTGGAAAGTATTTGTGAGGGGTAACCTTTCCCCCAGTGACTGCTCAGTTCTGCTGATTTCACTCCTGGTGGCTCCTATCCTGCCAGCCCAATCAGCCCTGAGATTGTCTTCCCTGTCTATTAAAACAAAAGATTATCCTAGCTCATGATGCTCACATTGCAATTGCTTAATCATAACTGTCAAGCTATAGCTACTGATTAACAACTTTATAAAAAGTTGCAAAGTTTGACTCAAACCCCTATGCAAATCTTGAGGGGCTCAGTATGAATAGTACCTTAAAAAAATACTCTAATGATTGTACATACCTTACTATAAACACATGCTGTTACCACTACCACTGCAACTAGGAGCATTCCTCCTACCACAGCAGGAACTAGCACAGTATTCCTGGTGTTACCTGAATTTTTTTAAAAATAAAAATTCCAAAAAGTTTAACAGAAGTGCTTTATATCACAAAATAATGTTCACTATTCAATAACTATATCAAAGCAATGATTTTTCTTATTTATAATCCAAAAGCTATGATTTAGGGAGAAAGAAACATTAAAAGGAAACAGAGACAACAATGTTCAAGTCATTTGACTCACTGTAGGACTTTACTGTGATACTTTACTGAGTTAAATGTGAATAGCCTAAAGCACATTATTTTACTTAATTGTGCTGATAAAGAATTCCATTTGTGCTTATGTGATATGATTTGATGACTTCTTAACAGTAGTCCCATTTAAAACCAACCAGCTGCCCAGGATATTAACCACTGTCTCCAGGCATGGTGCTCAGTGCCATTAACGGCACTGCTGATTTCCAGTAGAGCAGCTCTGGAAATGTTATCCAGCCTGGACCACAGATTTCATGACTTCTGTTGCAAAATCTTTGCAACTTTAATCTAAAACATTTCCCAGCTTCTTAATGCAACCATGCAATCCAGGTGGACACAAGAAATCCTGAGGTGGGTGGTAACAATGGATTCCACAATTGCCCATCTAGCCCAAACCTTTGCGCGGCACCAAACTGGCAGAAGAGTTGTGTGGTTCTTTTGCTTCAGGCTACCTTTCCACTGCCGTGTCTAGTCCAAAGAACTTGGAAAATTCTACACTTCTCTGGAAACAGTTAAAAAATGAGAACTGCCAAAATAGAGCATTTAACCTAGTCATTGCCTTTAGTTTGACTCTGTATCCACATCTTGTCAGTTCCTTTGGTAGAGCAGCTTTAAGCTGCAACCCTTCCTTACACAGGACAGACTCTCTTAAATGATTGTATATTCATCTTTCTTTTCCCCTTAAAAGCCTTCTTTCCAGTGACACTTGGAAATCCTCCTGATGCTTGAGCAGCTGCTGTGCCATGACTGCTCTGCAACACAGTGACCTGTCTTGTTCCCTTCCACCCTGCTGTCTATCCGCTTATCTGCTTTCTTCCTATGCTGCCACAAAGGTGCCAATCTCTCTGGTAAGTGTCTTTTCTGTACTGTATAATGTATTTCTGGTCCAAGAGCAGGAAGATTCTGTGAGCAGCACAGTAATTTCGCCACTAAAGAGGGGATTTGTATCACCTATGGCTATTGTAGGGTCCATCTGCAGAGAGCAGCTGGAGAAAGGCATTTGTAGGGGATGACTCTGATCATATTTGGACTGTATCCAGTAAACATACAGGGAGACTGATGGACTTGTGCATGTAACTTAGGAGAGCCAGTTAAATGTGTGACTCCTTGGAGGTGTTCAATGCTCTCCACTTCAGAAGTGCAATATTAGGTTTACAGGATAAGGAAGATCATGCTGGAATTTGATCTGTAGGGGAGTATGTTTGTCTGACTTAAATGTTTTCTTTAATCTAACTCCCCTCCTTCAGGTTGTGTATAGCCACTGCCATTTAAAACATCAAGTTTTCAGAATGAAACTAAGCTATCATGGGGGAGGGGGAAGAAAGGAAGACAAAAAGATGCAGCTATTATCACTTATTCTAGCCCCTTTTCTCTTATGTTGCCACTATTTTGCATGTCCTGGCTTGTTTCAAATTCTCTTCTTTCTTAAAAAACATCAGTGAGGTGCCCTACATTAGTTCTCAGTCTTTTAGGTGATTGTATTTAATTGTGTAAAATTAAAGTAGCCTGTGTGCTACTGCTGTTTTATGTGCTACTGACAATGAAAAAACTGTAACTAAGACTTCACAGCCGGAAATTTACTACAGTTCATAAAAACACAGGCATGCATTTAAACATATATATACCCAGGCCTAAAAGAGGCCCACAGTGCAGAATTAAAGTTTTGAAAATAGCAACTGTGTGTTCTCTTCAATCAGGTTTCTTCTGCAGGCAAACTTATACCACATCTTCGGGCTTCTCATCATCCCTCTGTCACCTTTAAAGCCATATTTGCTGTAAGCAGAACATTTAGGACAGGATTCTGAGAGTCCCCCTGTCCTCTCAGCTCTGAGGGCAGTTGGTGGCAACCAAAGGCAGCCACCTATTTTGAGACCTTGGCCACAAAAAAGCTGCTGACTGAAAAATAAGAAATTTCTAGTCTTTAAATAAAAACATCTTAGGTAACCTTTTTTTGCCTGGGACAACAATAATAAAATATCTCTTCTACCCAACTGTACTAATTACACAAGATGATTTTTCTCAATATTTTACAGATTTCCAATTGACTCTTTGGCTGTGCATGACCCTACCTGGTCCTCATCCTGTGAAATGAAAGGAGTGGCAACTTACCAACTTGCAAAGTTGTCACAATAACTTTTGTGTAGTGAGGTGTTGAAATATTACACAGATATTCTCCACTGTCAGCTGCAGTAAGATGGCGCAGGATCAGTGAAAAGTCGTTTCTGTTTATCTGAGCTCGAGGCTGGTAATAGTGGGATGTACCATTGAAGGAGGCCAGGACTGAAGTCGTTGAATTTCTGTTTAATTTCCAAACAACATAGACACCTTCGATGTTTGCAGTGTTACTGCTGTATCCACAAGGAATTACGGTGTCACTTCCTTCTGTATGAGACAGTTGGTCTGAAACAGATAATTAAAGAACTCTCTGCAGGTTATTTTGAAAATACTCTGAAGGTTATTTAGATGTATTCTGATTTTTTTATGAGGTCTAATACTACTACGGACAAATATAAAAACACAGTTTGCTACTTTGATATCATATTCAAACATCACAGTATGTTTCTAGAAGCATCTGAAGATTTTAAAAACAAACCTACCTTACACTAAAAAAACCTCTAATTGGTATTGGCAATACTTTAAAAAATTCTTTCTTTTTCATTTGACTATTTCTCCTCTAATTGGGGGGCTCAGTAATAGAAGTGATTCAGTCTAGTCTTAGTTACTGTGTAAAGTAGCATGAAATCCCACATGCTGGGAGCAGAGAGAAAATGCAACTAAAAAGGTACTTGCATATTTAAAGCAAAAGGATAAAACTCTTACAATATAATTTAATAAAAGAATAAAAAGGTTATATTTAGTTAGAAATAGCTTTCAGCTACAGTGGACTTAAGTATTTTACTTATCTATGTTGAACATTTAACAGTTAATGAATAGCTTTAAAAAAAAAGAAGGGGAAGGAGAAGGCAGGTAAGTGGAAGGAATATCTAAATTATAAAATATTAAGATAAGACAAACTAGCATCAAAGCACAACTATCAATTTAACAGCAGGGATTTTCTGCCAAGAAAGGAAAACCAGAGGAGGCTGTGGTGGCTGACAGTCAGCTGGAGAGGAAACTAATACATTATTTTGACGTGGTATAACCACGCTTGGTTTCTGTACCCCACACTGCTATTACAGAAGGAAAAGTAGAGCAGTTTGCTTTCAATGTGTTCTACGGAGGGGATAGATGGATGCAGGGAAATTCAAATAAAAGTGTAACCAAATGTAGCTTTTTCTCTTGTGGATCAGAGGCATAGATTAACAAAACACAGTGCAATTGTTAGCTACTATGATGCCATTCTTGAAACTCTCCATGTTGTAAGCAATTCTATGTATTAAAAACTGCGCTCTTGTTCTGCAGCACATGCAGTGGATTAGGAACTGAGAGCATCTGTGTGCATGTTAGAGGGAAATCAGGGTGATGGAAGCAGCCATGCACATCTCACAGGGGAACTGCTCTTGTATTGCTCTTCATCCAATTAAAAAAATATTTCCTAAGATACAGGAGAGGTTGAAAAGAACCATTTATTTACTCGAACTGAATTTCCAATGAAATTCAGGAGGAGGACAAAACAGAGAGTTGAAATTTCATAGTCCCGATTTTCCTTAACTAACAAAATGAGCTACTGTTTGCTAAAACGCAGTGTTTGCTGCTCTCAGCCCAGCACTCTTAACTGGCACCTAAGAACGCACATACAGTGGAAGGATCAAACAGTACCCATAAAAGTCTGGCAAAAGATGGGAAATGGACTGAGTAAGGACCATACGCATCTAGAGCAGCAGGCAAACTTTCATATAACCCACATATTCCACATAAGGTTTCCGTGTATTTTGTCCAAGTTCATTCTTTCCTTGCTGGAGTGTAAAGTTTATTTATTAGGTATCTCTTAAAATGTGAAACTGATATGGAAGAAATACTCAGAGTAAAAGTAACTTAGAGAAAGGTGAGCTAGCCCCTCTCATTTCTACTTCTTGGATTTAAATTGTAATGCTGCCTTGTAATCCCAATAGAAGAGTTTCAAAGAGAAAGGTATATCCTTCTGCACTATCCCATATCCATGTTGCCCCACTGCAGAAATACTGTCTTCAGTTTGGCTCTGAAGCCAGCTGTGACATTTAGTAATGATGCAGGAAGAGACTTCCATTCATTCCTACCTTGCATCTTCCATTCAGCAGTCCAGTTTAAACGATGGGCATGAATATGACAGTAGTAAGGATCTGCTCTTGTGTTTATAATGTTCTGGTCACTTCTAAGAGAATAGAGAACTCCATCCCTGGTTTCCTCACGATCTGTTTCTTGGATGGATACCTTGCCTTGTACCCAAGATATATTTGGTGCTGGATAAGTGAGAAAGGCATAACACTTCAGTTTCCTTTCTGTGTCTGTCTTTTGGTATTCCAGTGCATAATAAGAGGAAACTGTAGATGAAAAGAAAAAGGTTAAAAAAATAAATCTTACTACTTTCAAAATAGTTTTTAACTTGAAGTGATTGCTCTTGTGAAATAACATTGGGGAGAATAATTAGAACAACACTTAATGTGTGTTTGATTTCAGAAGAAAGCATAGTGACTTACTGTCAATGCCAGGGTCTATACTATTCCGAGAAGCCACATAATGTATACCACCTAATAACCCCTTAGAAATCACTGTGCAGTAGGTTATGAAAACAAGTGCTGCACTGTAATTTTTCAACTCATGTTACAGTGTTTCACTAGAGTAAACAAATTGCTTCATAACACCATCAGGCCCAAAATGTGCTCTATTGGGTTAGAGGATTTTGATTCCATGTGAGAAATAACACAAGAAAATCATCCCATTTCCACTGGTGCAATCCAAGCATTTTTGATGTCTTACTGACCTTTTACACGTAGTGTGACGTTCCGGTTTGTACGAGTTTCAATTGTTCCCACATAACATTCATAAGTGCCCTCATCAGTCACGGTCAGGTTACAAATTTTCAAGGAGGCGTTTCCACTAGTGATGTTCTCATGGAAAAGCTGTGTTCTGTTAATGTATTCTGGGCTATTTTCCGGCTGATCCTTCTGGTGGTAGTAGGAGTGCACATTTTTTCCCCCTTTACACCAGTGAATTACAACATCATGCCCCGGTGGGAAAGAACAAGGAAGGATGCAATCCTCAGAAAATAGCCCTGTAACTTCTTCCTGTTCTGTAAAACCTAAAGTCCATAAGTACAAATGAGTAAGTTTAATCCAGTCCACAAGTATACTTCTGCCCTTCCTTATCCCTGACAAAAAAAAACCCTCTTGCAGGCAGCACTACCCAGTGTGTCAAGGTCTCTTTCATGGCTTTTCTGTTGCATGAGTCCCTTGGGACAGCAAGGGTCTTCATTCAGTTTAATCAATATTATAACACAGAGCTCTGGTCTTTAAACTTACAATCAGTTTACATAGAAATCCTGAGTAGGCACCTACATGTTCAAATCAGCACACTGCCACCTCCCCACCTGAGCTTCAAATGCATTTCCACACCTTTTCCACCTTGAACTTCAAACCCTTCTGAGCTGCAGCTTGCTGCTTCCTCATACCTTCACAGTGCCACGCTGCAATGACCCACGTTACCAACCACCCTCACATGGTGCCAAGCAGTTGTACCATCACAGGGAAAAAGGATGTGATGGTGTAACTGGCAGGAAGGACAGAACTTCTTGGAACAGCTTTGCCACCACAGACAGGGAGCTCTGTCCCAGCCCCCAGAGATAACTCGGGTGTGTATTCCTCGCACATTCCTCGATTCTTTACTGTTAATAAACAGTGTTTGAATTAATTAATTCTCCCTATTAGAAATAAGTAATAATTGTTGTCTTAATTATTTTTCAGCTAAAACTTACCCCAAAGTGTAGCACTGATGTAAAATAAATACATGGTAAGAGTTGGTATGTTCTGTCCCTTCATGTCTTCACTGGTTCGTAGTAGACTCATGTCGAACTGGTAACATAAAAGAAGGGGAGAAAACTTGTTTAATGGCAGGTAAAAGACATACCATGATGATATCATTTCCTTTGTACATCTTATTAGGAACTGTAGGCCTTTGTACCATGTTTTTTCTTTCCAACAGTCTTGGCCCAGATTTTTGGCCTTATGATCCTATGCATTTCATAATGGTTGAGGGCCTCTCATTACCTTGCAGGCCCTTGCAGATTGATATTTTATTTGTAATAAATAGAAACTGTTTACTCTCAGTGTTCTTGCAGGCCTAGGGAATATTAATCATCATTCCTCAACAGGACACCAAGGAAAAATGCTCAAGTACAATTTGCAAAAGGATGTAATATGTCCCTTGTCAAGCTTGATTTTTTTTTTTTTTTACTTTAAGTATATTTCTGATTATTACAACATTGACTTTCTTGGATGGGAAATTTGAGTGTATTTGCAAATATTGCAGATATAGAGAACTTTTCACACTTTACTTTTCACCAGATCAAAAGGGCATCAGCTGAACTTTCAAAAATGTGTGTATAGAAATGTAGGGTAGGAATGCAAAGGAGGAGGAGAGTCTCTCATCAAATCTTCTGGTTTGTCACTTAACTAGCAATGAACTGAAGGCTCTCATGCATGATAGAAAAAGAATAATCTTATTATAACTGATAAACTGCACTCTTCCTCCATTCAGGCATAACATCCTAAAATACAGCACACCACAGTGGAGAAATTACCTCATGAATCAAATAGCTTGAAAAGAGTTTAAAGAGTTTTCCCTAGTCCTTTTCTTCTCTCCAAAAGGCAGCTATAGGTACCATTCCTAACTTACACAGGGCACAGGTTTAGCCAGGCTTGCTAGCCAGTTCTTTTAATATTAATGAGTGATTTTGACTGGTGTGTGTGACTGTATTTGTGGTGAATGTAAATCTTACATCCCAATGATTTTTGCATGTTATTTCTTTTGTAAAGCTAGTGTGATTGTTTTACATATTCTCACTATTCATTAGGAGAAAAAAACCAAACCAAAACAAAAACAACAAAGAGGCACCAAGATATTAAATCTGAGACAGGTGATGCAAGAGTAAAACAAACATTTATGATATATAACTTTGCTCCATGTCAGCAACAACTGCCAGTATCCACCTTCTTTTCTCCTTCTCATTTGCAAGTGGTGTACATCATGTTTCATTGGATTCTTCACTCATTTGTCCATCACTTCCAACCTGTGATTGATACAACATATTGTGCTTGATGTTTGAATTTCAAAAACTGCAATCAATGCTATATTTCCCTTAGTGAGTGATGTGCCACGTTTAATAGTCACATTTAATTGGCAGTGATGCTCTCAGAGTAACGTGGTTCCAACAGTACCTCTGTGATGCTTTTGGGGGCTGCATGGGCAGTGCACACTGCCTCCCATCTTCTACCTGTACTCAATAACCCTGCTCTAAAATACAGAACTACAACTAGTCAGCTGAAAATTTTCATGTTCAGCACAAATCTTAGCTTTGGATCTTCTCATTGCACCATATTGAGAAAAATGTTTGCTGGTCTGTAGAAAAACCTGAGGAGTGTAGGCTCTGGCCAGTCTTTTCAGCCGGTCTGAGGTCTTACAGGCATAAAGTGTGTGTATGATAATAGTTAGAACCACACTACAAAGCACTATACAAACCTGCTTTTCCTGTTTTTTACATGAAACAAATGGTACAACCAAGAAATCATGCCCTAAGGCTTTGCAGTGAAATATGAAATTATGTATACAGACAGTGTACAACTAGAATTAAGATCACTGTAGTCATGTTAGTTACTGATGCTCCAGTTTTCAGGAGAATTATTTCATACAGAATCACCACAGGCTCAACTGGTGAGAAGCTCAGCCAGGGTTTCTGAGAGCAAACCAAGGTGCTAAAATGCATCTCCCAAGACATACTGAACAGTTCAATTAGTGGTAGGGCCACTAGGCCATTTGCTTTGGCCACTATAGGGAAAGAACACGTGCTTTCCTTTTCTTCTGTTAGACAGTGACCAAACCACGTATCCTAAATCTTTCCTCCTCTTTGAACTCTCAATCTGAAACCAGGTAAGACCACTCCCCTAGCAAAGAGCAATCAGCTCAGTGAACTTTACTTTGCGACCTACTTTGAGAGCAGATATGTAAAAATATTCTTCTAATCCTGTCAAACAAAATTTATTTATTTCTTAGTAAAAGTGATTCTGGTTAATTCCTTTTCAAGGTAACTAAACAAAACCACATTTCAAGCACACACACTTATGAGGACTGGAAATACCAAAGGATTTCAATCTTTACCAACAAGCAAACAAGAAAAACAAACATATAAAGTTCTAAAAAGCACATGTTAATCAAATACTGCCAAAATCTCATACTTGCCATAATGACACTAGCTTTTCAGGATTTCTCACTGACTCTTCAGAGGGATTTTCTGTAGTAGAAAAGAGAATTAATTCTCTATCTCCCTCCAATGAAACCCTTACAATTTAAATACTAACTTCATACTTCATTTGTTAAGAAATATTCCCAATGGAAGAAGGTGCCCACAATCTAAACACTCAAAACTGTTTTAGGAAGTAGACCAAAGATACTGTGTTTTAGCTCGATATACACATATCATATTCTCACCCTCCCCCACTCCATACACTTACATTATAGAGCTCTCACAAGAATGTCAGGGATTTTTTACCTCTTCTTATTTCACAAGCAGCCAAAAATCAAAGTCGTCTTGCAGTTACTAGCAGGCAGGGTTGGTATACATAAAAAACCAAATATACAGCACTCCTGTTGATCTTTGCCTCATACACATGGTACAGTTCATTCCTTTCCCATAAAGGAAAACAGTTGTTTCTGCAATGCAAACTAAGTTTCTATACATGTGAAGCTTTCATACTTTTCACGTTCCTTTCTCCCTCTTTAGGATTAGAAGACTTTTTCTCTTAACCATCTCTTTTGCCTGGCTTTGTTGAACAAACCCTTTAATTTTAACTCCTGCAAGATGCAACTGAGAAGAAATCAGTTCTCATCAGTAATGTGATACCTACAGCAGTGGCGATGCCACTTGGGAATGTGCTGGGGCATCCAGAGAGCCAGAGCACTGCAGCAGCAGCGAGGCCGACAATTTCCTTACAGTGCCAGAACACTGGCACAGGGAGCGAGGTCAGCTCTGTGTGGGCACAGGAAAACAAGAATATAAGACTGAAATCATCATGACACTCTTCTCAGAAAGCTGGTAATGTGAAACAAGAGGTAGGTGCCTTGGGTTGCCTGCAGGGTTAGGTAATTATTTTCTAACAATATTTCCCCAGTGCTCCTTTTTCTCTGGACAGCTCAAGCCCTGTGTGTGCTATCTGGTTTCCAGTAGAAGAAACTGACAGAACTACTCAAGTATTTTCGGGAAGAGGGCTTACAAAAAAACCAAACAAAACGAAGGAAGAAGTTGGAAGAAGAGGTGTCTCTCTTCAAAGGCCTTGTCTGGTGTTAGCAGTACACAGGTGAGGTGTGTTTCCTACATTCACTGAATACAGAGTCATTTAGGTTGGAAAAGACCTCTGAGATCATCAAGTCCAACCTTTGACTGATCACCACCTAGTGAACAAGGTGCCGCAACCAGTCGTTTCTTGAACACCTCCAGCGATGGTGACTCCACCACCTCCCTGGGCAGCCCGTTCCAATGCTGGACAACACTTTCTGTGAATTCCTCCTAACATCCAACCTAAACCTCCTCTCGTGCAGCTTGAGGCTGTGTCCTCTTGTCCTGTCACTAGTTGCCTGGGAGAAGTCACTGACCCCCACCCGGCTACAACCTTCTTTCAGGGAGTTGTAGAGAGTGAAGAGGTCTCCCTGAGCTTTCTCTTCTCCAGGCTAAGCCCCCTCAGCTCCTCCAGCTGCTCCAGACCCTTCCCCAGCTCTGCCGCCCTTCTCTGGGCACACTCCAGCACCTCAGTGTCCCTCCTGAACGGAGGAGTCCAGAACGTGACACAGCACTCGAAGTGCCTCAGCAGTGCCAAGCACATTCCCGGGAGTCCCAGCTTTCCCACCCGCTCCCTTCCCCACCGCCCCACGGCACTTCCAGCCGGCGACCGCAGCTGGTCTCCCGCTACAGCTCCTCAGCTCCCAAGACTTACTCTTCCACACATCCAGCTGCACAGTACCGCACCTCAGGCCACGAGGTGCTGCCCGCCCTGCGCCGACACCGTGTGAGGCACTCGGTAGTTTGTGTTAAACTGGGAAAGTTTAAAGTCTAAAGCCTCAATCCGACGAGACCGCGAAACCAGTCCCGCCACACCCACCCGAGCGCATCTTTGCCAAATATGGTATTGGGTGGGCGGGGTTACTGTGCCCCGTGCGCGCTGATTGGTCGGGGGCGTGGCCGGGGCCGGTTGCCCTGGGTTACGTGCAAGCAAGATGGCGGAGGAGGCCGGGGTGGGCCGGAGAGGGGAGCGGTCGGCGGAAGAAGGGCCGGCGGAGCGCGGCCCCGGCGCGGCCTTTCACATGTTCGTGCTCATGGAGGACCTGCTGGACAAGCTGAAGCTGCTGAACTACGAGGAGGAGGCGCTGAGGCGCCACAACATGCGGCCGCTCTCCAGGTGCTCCTTGGCCCGCGCCGCCTCCTCCGGGCGCTCGCGCGGCAGCGGGAAGGGGTCGGCGGGGGAGAAATCCCAGCGGGCGGTCAGAGCCCGGGGAAGGAAGGAGGGCAGGTCCCGGCTGGCAGGTCCAGCCAGGGCCTGGCTCAAGGCAAAACCTGCCAGAGGCACAGCTTCCCGTGTCTTCTGGAAGCTTTCCAAACGCCGAAGGCTGAGATGTGATAAGTAAATAGCACTTGACCTTCCCTGCCCCCGACAGGTACTGGATAGCTGCATGCCAAGGTACCTGTGCAAAAATTAGTTCTACCTAAATTCTAAATAATTCTGAATAATTCTGAGTTTCTTGAATTCAGAGTAACTATTTGTGGGGAGTGTATATTTTTTGACCTTTTACAAAAAGGATCTTGGATTCATTCTTGTTAAGTCTGGGTTTTCATATCCAATATATATTTGTTTCATATGTAATTTCTTTTTTTTTTTTAATTATGGGAGAGGCAGGAAACTTGGGAAATGGGACCAATATGTTCCCAACATCTGCCTGCCCAAATAACTTTCAAATCCATCTTGTCGGGTTCAACCAGGCTCCACAGCAGCATGTCACAGAGTTAAGCTTTCTATAAGCAACATTTTGATAGGATAGGGGAAAAAGAGGCAGTCCAGATTATTCCCTTGTTGGGAAGGAGGCTCAAGTACGAGCACAGCAGCTGTAAGTTGGTTCTAGCGAGCTGTCAGACCATCAGAATGTTTGGAGCAGGGAAGCAAACCTTTGTGTACCATAGTGAGCAGCTGTGTCTGTAAACAGAAGGGTTTGGTTCTGAGTAGCCAGTGTGAATGTGGTTTACTGAGTATGTGATTTACTGCATATGTGGGTTACATTTTTGGGGGACTAACCGTGGTCTGGTTCTACGGACTGAATTCTTCTTGAGACTGTATATTTGAATTTAGTGTGATCCAAAGCAGATCTGGTTTGTCTAGGTTACTCTCCAAAGCAACCCAAGGCACAGTAAGTGAGGACAGGTAGAAGGATCGCTTCAAAACCTGCTCCTGATCTGAGCTGAGTGCACTGATTTAGGTACACCAGCTTCTTGCCACTCATGAGGAATGTATGAAGGGGAAGTCCTTGGGGGAACTTGGAAAAAAAGGAATTGGATGTATTGCTGTTGTCAAGAATAGAATTTGGGGATGTTAAGAAGGGAGGTGATGTTGCTGTGGAATAATGGCAGGGATAATGCCAATATGTAGAAATAAGACACATCTCGTGAGGCAGTGAAGTTTCCATAAATTTGTTCTCCCCTCCACAAGAGAGTGCCATTCAAGTTTGCATATAGTCACTTGGTGCAAATTTTATTTATTTAGTTGCTTATTTTAAAGGGGCATAGTCATATACCCAAACACAGATACCTTTCTTTGTACAAGTTATTGGCAATTGCAGATTTTTGACTTGGGATTCTTTTGAGCTTCCAAGTATTTTATGATATGCAAGGAATACTTGAATTGGATCTATTGCATAGGTTCTCAAGTAGCCAGTGGTAGTATTTTTATGAAGTGATGGGATTCTGCATCTCTAAAATGGTAACAGAATTGAGCTCATCATGATTTGAGGCTGCTCAGGTAAACAACTCCTCCAAGTTGCTCCTCAAACAAGAGGAGTAACTTGGGTTTGTGTGGAAATGCTAATTTGGTGGTGTTTAACCGAGGCTATATAATGCTGCTGGCAGGAGAGGGGAGTACCCAGTTTCCATTTGATTCCTTGGAAGTTAATGTTGATTAATAGCTCACTCAAAGCCGGAAACAAGTGAGCTGGATGTAGCAAACTTAGCCTGCTGTGATTACGTGTGAAACGAGTCATCCTGAATTTGGTTCGGATGGATTGCTCATTGAGAAAGTCGGGTAAAGAAACTGCTCTGTGGTGCGTGCTGGCCTGTAATGCTGTAAGAGCTGCAGGAGCTCAAAATATCTGCCATTCTTTCTGCTTTTTAAACAGGCACTACTTTGCACTGCCCACCAATCCCGGCGAGCAGTTCTTCATGTTTTGCGCGCTCGCCGCTTGGCTGATCACGAAAGCGGGGCGTCCCTTCGAGCAGCCCCAGGAATGCGATGACCCCAACGCAGTGATATCGAACGTGCTCTCGGAACTGCGGTCCTTTGTAAGTTGTTGAGCAGGCTGTTTTCCCAGGCGTGTGTCAAACATGGGCATCGCCTTCAGAAAGAACTGCAATCACACACTTCCTCTCCTTCCTGCTTTTGTTCGCAAGGACCACACAGACTTCTCCTATTTATAAGTTTCTACTCTGTTACTTAGTTAATTGGAAGTTTATACAGTCTATACCTACTTGCTAATTTTTTTAGCACTGCAGAAAACGGTCTTATAATATTATATATGATTCCAATTACTTTTGTTCTACAAAATGGATTAAACTGGGTTTACTTTTTGTAGTGCCACATATGTTGCTCATTTATAGTAGCATAATTTACAGAGATTTTGTCTGGAAAGTTTACACAGTGCATATGATCCTGCTCCTGCCATAATCAATGGTATAGTTCACAGTGAAGGAAATGGTTTAGAATAGTGTTCATGTTTTCTTCTTTTTTTTGTTAATGAGTAAAAGGTTGTATAAACTGCCAGGAAATATTGGGATTTTTTTTCAATATTAAAAAAAAGAAAAAAAAAACAACAGAAACAAAGGTCAGGAGAATATATCAACTTACAGGAAGTATGATCTTAGGGAAGATTATACTGCAGTGGAGCTGTGAATGATGTTAAGACTATTCTCTAAAGGAGTTAAACCATAGCAAACTAATATTTTTATTTTACAGGATAGCAATAAATAAAAATATGTTATAAATATAATCTGCAGCAAACAAGACAATGTTGAAAAGCTGGTATTTAAGTCTCAGTACTGAAGTTTCTCCATAGCTGTTCTTACCTTGCCAGCTTGTCACTTGTGTGCTTGACCATCCATCTCTCTTGTGGCTTCCGACTCTTCTGCTCCCTATGACTATCCTCGTTACCATGTGCTTTAAGATTTCTACACTGCATCTGTTCCTCGGGATGTTTTCTTTTCCCTTCTGTTGCCTGACTGGAGCTGCGTAAGGAAAGAATGTGAATTAACATTAATAAAATCTTCATACACAAGAGACACTTTGGTTTTAGTGTAAAAATAATCTTATCTCCCTGCAAGGAAACTCGGATCAATGGGCCATTAATAAACAGCACATCTCTTTATTTTAGGGAAGGCCTGTGGATTTTCCTCCCTCAAAATTAAAGGCTGGTTGTGGAGAGCAAGTGTGCTATGTTCTTGATTGTTTAGCTGAAGAAGCCTTGAAACACACTGGCTTTAGCTGGAAAAGGTACAATACGCTTTAGCATCCTCCCTTATGCATTGTTTTCCAGCAAACAGATGTAAGTTGTAATGGTAAAGACAAAACATAGTAATGACTAAAAGTGTTTTACTTGACGTTTCATGAGACGCAAAATTCAACTAGGCTTGAAGCACTGGGACCAATTAATTCCTAATGCAATTTCACACAACTCAGTCTATTACCAGCAAGCCTGAGTTTGGACCATTAATAGACTTAGCTAATTAAGATTTAACTGATGACCTTTTTTTGGTCATTTCCCTATGCATAACTCCCTGTTAATCTGACAGTTGAGTTGAAACATTTAATTTCCTTTTAGGTTCTATCAATTAATTCTTAACCACTTCAACTGGAGGTATGCACCATACATGTTACACGTAGGGTACAGTAGTTTTATTTAATATGAAGGAAATCTTAGGAGAAATTAGATCACAGATAATTTCAAGTGTATGAAACTGTCTTTAAAAGTGTTCTTTATTTCATTCCTTCACTCTGATGGGTTTTGAAATGGATGTAGCAAAGTAATTTCTACCTTAGAAATATTTTCCTGTTACTTCTGTTTAATACACAAATTCCAATGTGGGCTGAAAATAAGTCTGTGGTGACTTGCACTTGAATTTTAAGAGGTTAGACCAAAAGAGAAAACCAAAATTTACTCCCCAGATGTCTTTGTAGTATGAATATACTGTTCTGCCTGGCATAGTAAATAAACTTTACTTTTAAGACAGTTCAAAATCAATAATGCCTTTTAAGCCTGTTAATTTATTTGTTTAAGTATGTGAGATGCTAATCACTGTCTCATTATAATCCACACCATCCATACTTCTCATGAAATGTTTTGTTTGCTAAGGAGAATTTACAGAGGTATTTACAATTTACTGTGTTTAAAAGCTCTGCTGTTCTTTGAATTAATTTCAGGCCAGCATATCCAACAGAAGAGCTAGAAGAAGAAGAAATAACAGAAGATGATGCAGAATTAACACTTAATAAATTGGAAGAGGATGTTGCAGTAGGTTTATGTCATTGCTTTTGATGATACTAGTATTGGTCAGCCATGGGCAAGTTTTTATTCACTGTTGAGTTTGTTTGGCTTTGTTTAAGAAGTCCTTTCTATTAGCTGGTCAGTTTTTTCCCTGTGGCTCCATTCTTGCATCATCAGATTCTCTGTAGTTTTTTGTTGCTTTTCAGATAAGGTTTTTAACTCATGGAGACAGAGCACATGTTCTTATGTGCAGTGGAATCTAACCATGCATTAAAATCACAGAGATTCAGGATTGTTTGTGTTCTACTGATACAAGCTCT